AAAAAAAAAAAAAAAAAAAAAAAAAAAAAAAAGCCACCAAAAGCAACGGTTTTCCTCCCGTTTTTTTTTTTCCTCTTCTTGTTGTTTTTGTTTCTCGTTTTCAAGCAAATGAAGAAAAGGAGTTTTAGGACGAAGTTCTCTCAAACATGTCCATGACTTCCACAGTGTATTCCAATGCATTCATCGTGTCTCTGAAGATGATCCAGTCTCTCTGGTTCCTTTGAAGCTCGTCGTCCAAGTCACGAACATCATCGGTCATCACGTCTGCTGACACGTCTGTGTTCGGAGTCACTCGCTTCAGCACCATGCCAACTTGCAGCTCACACAGAACCTGTGCAAAAAATAAGAAACAACAACTATCAGAATTGTTCAAACGCATAAACTAGGCTGCAAATACTCGCCAACATTCTCTATACCACTTCGACAGAATTCAGCCGTTTACAAATTTAAATCATGCGTCAAATGGGGTGTTTCCAAAAACGAGGAAATTTCGCTATGAAATCGAAAACTTAATCGATAATTGCATGAGGTACAAGCTTTTCTTACTTTTTCAGCAGAGAAACATGTAGTCGGTATTTCTGCGTGTCACTCAAGAGAGGAAACGTACAGAGAATAATTTTAAATCGGAGAAAATAGGGAAGAATAAAAAACAATTGATTGTTCGAAGAATTCAGGATGATACTGTAAAAGTTACCTTCATTATATCAACCCTCAGTCGAATATTTGAGGTAATAATTCCTTTACCCGTGAAAAGCGTCAAGAGTAGATTGACTGCCAGTGAATTCTAATTACTTTGACACAATTTCAACAGCCATATATTGGAAATCTTTAAAGCGAAAACACCAAAACGCAACACCGATCCAAAGGAAATTCTAAGCACTTACACATTACGGATATCCAAAACTTTTTCACGCACACGGACCATCAAGAATAAGGTAAAATTTTTGAGTTTAGCTCATGGCAATTGTAGAAACTATCGTAATATAAAATCACGTGTTCAGTTGAATTTATTTTTTTATCTACAGTATGTGTAACAGCACAGACTTGATGATCCTCATTTACAGAGTTCAACTAACCTAATTCCTGCTGGTATTGGCTGTGTTCTTGTATCAGTTCTACAATTCTATATTAAAATTTTTTTAATCATAACATAACGAGGCTGTAAATCAACTGGACTGAATTCTGAACCTTCTCCGATTTTATTTTGTCGGAAAACACCTTCGCAAAAAAAGGGAAATCACGGAACTACTTGGGAACGAAATCGTTGAGCCGAGTAAAAGACATTTTCTTTGAGTGTATAATATGATAAATAAATGAAAATAATTGGAATTATCATTTACCGTTGCGATGGAAGACTCGAGCTCCTTGAACTTCTCCAAATGGCTGCCCCCATAAATCGACAGATCCAGCAACAGCTTCTCCAAGCCCACGGAATACTTTTGGAAATACTCGAATAGCCTCCGAAGAGTCTCTTCCAACTGCACCAAACCAGAAAGAAAGAACCAATTGTTTCATTAAAACCTGTTTTCATTTTTAAGAAAATTTTAAAATTACCTTCAGAGAATCTAGATGCTCCTGGGGCACCTTTTCTCCCAATTCCTTGGGAATTTCTTCTAGCGTTGGCAGCCAAGAATGACGGTCTTCCTTGTGCGCTTCATGTAGATCACTGAAGTGCAGATAAAACGTGTCCATCGCCTGAAAAAAAAATTGAAAATTCAAAACAAAAAAATTAGAACGGCTATAAAAAGGTCGAGTCAAACGCCAAATATTTCCGCAACTAATCAACAACAAATAATTGCGAGATCCGACTTCTCGTCGTCAACTTCACATCAAAACAACACCTCGGAAAAATTGCACTAGGTAAAACAACCAGTCTATTAAATTATCACGCTCAGTTACTTCCATATAAAATATAAAGAAAACTTTATCTTCGAGGGGAGCAGAAACGAAGAAGCTAAAACCGAGCGTGTGAAGAAATCACTGAGGCATGAAATCCACGTGGGATTTTTTTCCCCCAACTTGCCCTAATTTCAGTTCGCAATTCTCGGAAATCCCTTTATGAATTTTCGTTCTCGAGTCACCCCAACTTTCAACACTTACGCCGTGATTATATCTTGAAAATACAATATAAAAAATTATCACTTCACTCGAAAAAATAAAACATTAAATTCGTACTTTCGTTTCCTGAATTGATGGAAACCACCTGAGAATCAACTGACTTATTTCACAGCGTGTTTAGTCCAGGAAATGTCATCGTTTCACAAGTTTTAATTAATTTGAAAGTATTTCTTATTGATATTTTGAAAACAATACGAAACCGGCAAGGTAGAATGAATCACAACATTTCGGGGTTCGTCCTAAGCGACTGCAATTTCCACCGAAAGCCCACACATAGTCCCAGTGGGATCGTGACTCAAAACCCAATTGACCTCTGCCTCTCGTCCTTCAAAACTCCCCTCAAGGAAAAAATAGACATCAATCTATTTACCTACATCCAAAAGAAATAAGTGTCCAGAAAATAAGGTGAAACCGCGATTACTCATACTTTCAAACGGGGTTAGTGGAGAAAAAGGCAAGTGAAGGAATGATTCACCCCCCAGGTGTCCAGATTTAAGAGAACATTTTTTCTCGACGGATCGGGGATTATTATCTAGTGAATCATCTCATCTGCTTCGACTTTTCCCTGATCAAAAAACAATTCCTTCCTTTACAAGTTTGAGGGAAAAGAAATGCGATCCAGAACAAACATATGACGGGTCAGTCAGAAACACAGAAACAACGCGATTTTACAGATTTATTCTCAAAATACCGAAAAACTTCCAAGTGTGAGACAGAAAATTATTTTTTCGCCGTTTCAAGCAGCGACAGGTTAATAAAAATTTAGGGTCTTTTGTGGAAATTTGACTGATTCTGATAGGGAAAATCTGAGCCCGCTGAAAATAATTATACCGAGAATTCCAGACACGTCAGCATTTATTTTATTAAAAAAATATATATATATTCGAATTTCTCATGATTTCCTGTAAAAAAAAATTCCAGACCGTCAGCATTTATTTTATAAAAAATATGCAATTTACTCATGATTTCCGGCATTGAAAAAAATATGTGCGAAAATCAGAGCTTCTAGAAATTATTTCATCAGGATTCACTTCGAAAACCTGCAGCCGCAAAAATAAATGTGATTCCTTTCGAAAATTTTGGTTAAATCAAAACGATAAGACGCATATTTATACTCGTTCCTGATATCAAATGGCTAAAATATTAAATTTAGCAGCTTTCCAGCATATGCAATCGTAA